GCGACCCCCGCATCGCCCCCTCCAAGCTGCAGTTCAGGGGTCAGCAGGGATGGGGGCCTGGTCCCCAAGGGTATGGGGGGAACATCCCCCATGCTGGCATGGTCCATGGGCAGGAGGATGCTTTGGGGTGCTCCCGGCTCACTGCCCCCCTTTTCTCCATACCTCCTTGGTGTGGTTGTTGTCTTTCTTCCCCGCCTTCTCCTGCTTCTGCTCTGTCACCTTGCTCTGCCGCCGGCTCAGCCAGCCGGTGCTCTGCCCATCACCGTGGACCTGTGGCTCCTCAGGTGCACTTGGCTTGGCCAGGCTGCCCTGGAAGGGGAGCAGAAAGCCACCGCTTGGGGGGTGCTGGTAGGTCCCATCCACCCCCTCCTGCTTAGTCTGAGGATTTCACGGGGACCCTGGGGTGCGCAGGGTGCAGAGGGGTTCATTTATGCACGCGGAAAGAAGTCCCGCGGGCAGCTGGGACCTCGGGGATTTTGGCACAGGCCAGGGAAGGGGTTCCCACCGCAGCACTGGGTGGGAGAGGAGAGGACCCTCCTTCCCCCATCCTCTCTGGGCCTCTGGGAGGGCTTCTTGCTTTAGGGAGGATGTTATGGCAAGGCCATAAATCAACAATATACATGGGGAGCCAGCTAAAAATAACTCATCCCGCTAACACGGTACAAGGTTGTGTGTGAATGTGCCATGGGAACTACCGGCCCCGGATCATCCTGCCGAGTAGGGGAAGCAGCAGCGCCCACCACTCTGCTCTCGGATGTGCTCCAAGGAACCTGAAATATCTCATCCAAGAGCAGAATCAGCCCAAAAGAGGATATGGGAGAACAGGAACCTGGCAGGTGGGTTTTGGCACTCACTAGGATGGGGATCCAGGTGGCCAGCTCCTGCCCTTTGGCTTTGGCACGCTGGAGGCTTTGGGTGGTTTGCTGGTAAGCACGGTGGGAGACAGTGCTAACCAAGGCACCAATCCGGTCCAGGGTGCTGGGAGCACTGGGAGCGCTGGGCTGCTGCTGGGAGACCTTTGCTGCTGACCCATGCGTCTCTTTGGGCTTCTGATCTAAAGGCAGAAAAGCACAGGCACAAAAGTGGTGAGGGGTTTATGTCCTGGTGGGACAACCCTCCTAGGCAGCCCTACATCAAAACCCATGCCATGTGCACCCCATGAGTGAGGTGCCACCCCACATGCAGACAGCCCTCCCCAGGCACCCTCAGAGGGGATTTAGGCATCAGAACTACCTGCTTCTTCATCCTCCTCTGGCAGCAGGTAGTCCATCAGCTTCTCCAGCCCTCCCAGGGCCGTGTCGACCCCTGCAGCTGCCATCTGGCTCACCGAGTTCCTCCTCGTGTACCTTGCTGTTGTTTCCACCGTGTTCTTTGTGGCCTCGTAGCCCTCTGCTGCCAGTTCCATGATCTTATCCACGGAGTTGCCAATGGTACTTTTGGCACTTTGGAGTGGGGAGGAGATGCTGTCCTTCAGTTCAGATGCGAGCTGCAGGCAGAGAGATGAACAGCCCTGCTGGTGTGCTTGGGGTGGCATGGGACAGCCAGAGGGACCACAGGGACCCCAGCCATGGCCATGCCAGTAGACAGCCCTGAGAGGGGCATAACAGCTCTCTCCAGCCTGGGCTGGAGTTAGCTGGCAGGGATGGGCCATAGGATGCTGCTGACCTATATTTGGAGCTCCCCAACCATCCCCTGGGCTGCAGGAGCCCCTAGAGGGGTCCCTGCTTGGAGGTGTTGCCCTGTTCCTCCCTGAGCAGCCCATCACTGTCCAGAAACAAGACCAGACACATGCTGCATGCTCTGCAGAGGGGCCAGGGGGTCCCAGACTGTCCTGCCTGTGACTTACCTTGTCAACGGGGTACTGGAGGGCAGGGATCTTCTCCTCCAGGTGGTCCAAGCCCCGGCAAGCCAGGTTGTTAGCCACAGCGACTGCCTTGGGCAAAAGCATGGGGTTAAGTTAGTAAGAAAAGCTCCTGGGCTGTGCTAGGGGGTCTCAAGTGCTAGTGCCAGCGCTGTCCCATCAAGGAGGGCTCCGGTGCCCCCCCTGCCATGTCCCCCCAGGTGGATGGACTCACACTGAGGCTCCAGCCTGCGCACCACGGGCTCCATGCTCCACACGGCCAATGCGCTGGCACCCTGCACGCCCCGCTCGTAGACCTCGCACACCGAGGCCATGAGCGGGTGGGCCTCCTTGGTGCTGGTGTAGGTCCGCTGGAGGCTTTCGCAGGTCGAGCTCACCACCGGCAGGTGCAGGACCCTCTGCAGCACGTTCTCCTGTGCATGGCAGACAGGTCTTGGTTAGCCAACAGCCATTTCCTGAGGAACACCCCATTGCCTGCATGCCAGTGGCATTTGGTGTGCTGCAGTGACCACAGAGGACCTCAGCTCACGCTGGAGGAGGAGTGCATTTCTCGAACCCCACTGAGGGTCTCCCAGATACGTTGCGTACAGCACAGCCATGGACGAGCAGTCTGGCTGCTGCCGCTGAAGGAGCAGGGACACCACAGGCAGTGTCGGAGGGGTGATGGTCCCCACTCTGCCCATCTCCCAAGCCCGACTGTCCAGGCACTCTGTCTGGCTTTCCACCCTGCTCTGCTGCTTCTTCCATCTGACCCAGCCATTGCTCCTGTCCTTGGACCAGCAAAGTGCATTTGGCCTATGTGGCACCTCCGTCCTGTCACCACTGTGACAAGTAAAGGATATGGACCTCAAAAAGGAGTAGGGGAGAGGAGCGGGTCTGTCCTTGATGGCACACAGGGTAGGAGCCATTGAAGAAGAGGGCACCAGAGCAGCAAGGCACTGCATCCCCACACCCTGCTTGTATGGGCAACATGGGGTGCCAGTATAAACCAGCACAGCTGGCACTTGTGTGTGCTGCCAGTACACACAGGTCCCTCAAAGCTGGGTGAGCAGGATAAACCTGCAGCGCCAACCCTCCACTCCTGCTCTCACCCACTGCCCACCTGGCAAGGTGAGACAACTGAGCAAGACGCTGCAGCCCCAAGGCAGGAACGGGGCAAGCATTGGCTCATCATAGCAGCCATGAGACAAGTGCTCTTTGGGTTGCATGGGACAGAGCAGAAGAAAAAGCTGAGCTTTCCCCTGATCACCAGTGGGTGAGAGGATGAGTTTGGCTTCACATCCCGCTTGTGACCATGACTGGACTGTGAATCTGCATGTTTGGTAAAAACTATGTTGTTTTGTGCTGTATTGTGTTAATTTTGGCTTGATGTGGAGCCAGCCCTCTCACAAATCCTGCAGTTCAGCAATCCCGGGGGCTCTAGCTGTTCAGAGCAGCGCTGCATCATTAGCAGCGTGACTGCTGGAGGTTTGGGGTCCACACTGGGGACACAGACGAAGGACAGGCACTGCCAGCAGGTATCACTGAGGGCTCACATCACCCAGGGTTAACCTTCTTGATTCTGAACTATTTAATTTCAAGCATGCAAAAGGTTTTATCCTTTCCCTTTGATGATGCTCTGTATTATTGCAGGTAAAGATCCATGTAAAGATGACAGGGAGACATGTGGGACAGCATCAGATGTGACTTGTGTTCATCCGGCAGAACCGGTACGAGCTACATAGTGCCCTTGGCACACCTCTGCCCTCCCCTCTCTCACTCTTCCCCCACCCACCTTGGCACTTCCATTCTGCAGAGTCTGATTCTTCTTTGCCGTCATCGCGACGCATCCACCTGCAAAGCAAAGTTGGGAGCCGCAGACCCCTGCTGCGAAAACAGGGCTGGGCTCGGGCTCCCCTCACTCACTCCTGTGCCCCCTGAGCACGGCGAGGTCGGGAGCTGGGCTGAGACATGCACCTCCCATGGGTGCAATGGATGTGGCATTGCCTAACGCTTGACTTTTTACCAGTAAAGTTGTAAAACCAATGACTCCACACAGCCCTCCCCCTGTTAGTGTGTCTTAACACCCAAAGATGCAAAAAATTACTTGAGAGGCATCTAGTTTGGAGGAGCTACAGTACAAGGCAGGATAAAGGGCATTGGCAGAGCTGTAAAGCAAACTCAGAGCAACCAGGATACTAACAGATGTGCATGGGGGCCAGGGTGAGAGATGCAGGCTGAGAAGGCGGGACAGGAGCAGAGAGAGGAGCAGCCGGTAGGGATGTGGTGAGCTGCCCAGCCGTGGTCAGCATCGCCCTCCCACACATCTGCCCGCAGCTCTGCCGCTCATGATGCCAGCACCCATCCCTGCGCAGCCCCAGCTTGATGCAGGGGGCAAAAGCACTGCAAAACACCCATCTCCACTGCTCCCGGCTGGGTGACACCCAAAAGCACACCTCCAGCTCCCACCCCCAACACAGATCCCCCTTTTCTCAGCAGCAGATGAAATTCAGGAGATTTAGGGAGTGCAGGTGATCCCTGCTCTCAGCCCCTGCTGAAGCTGTCCCCGGAGCGCCCGGTGGGGACAGACTACTCACCGCAGGGCAGCCCGGCCCCGGCAGAGCAGGAGCAGAGGGTGGTGGCTGCACCGTCCCTTCACCCGGGTCCTCTGAGAGCGATGCACGGTGCCCCAGCCACTACCACCACAAGGCCCCACCTCCCAGTTGCGCGGGCTTGGGAGCTGGCGGGTTGTGGTGGAAACTGGCCAAAGAGCTCCCTGAAGCCACCGTAATTTGGAACAGATGACGGCAGAAAATCCCCTTCGTCATCTTCCCTGCAGAGCCCCGAAGCTGCAGCACAGCTGGGATGCACTGGGGTTTAATGCCACTCCACCAAGAGAAGATGAAAAGAAGTCACCCTTGGGCCTCACCACCTCAAAAGCAACAGATCATGAGCAGCAAGGGAGAAGGTGAAGAGTCAGGTGGGGTTTGTTACAACAAATGGGGGGGATGATGAGTGTGGAAGAGATTAAAACCTTCTTGTATTCTATTGTATTTCTGTAGCCTCTGTCATCCCCCACGGTGGACCAGGATCCTATCCTGTTGGGAAACACAACACAGACCAAGAACATAGTTTCCCCCCAATGGGAGAAACTAAGCACAAGGAGCAGAACATGGGGGGACACATCCTGCACAAAACAATCTAGTTTGGCCAGGTCTGCAATTTCTAAAAGAATCCACCGAAGATTTTGGCGAGGAGGCTTTTAGCTGACTGTCAGGGCAGACATTGCATTAAGAAAGCTCTAGGCATTTGGAGTAGACAGAAATGGAGGAAAAAATGAGGTTGGAAGTGATCTCTGGAAGTCACCTCATCCAACTCTTGCTCATAGCAGGGCTACCCTCAAAGCTAGATCAGGCTGCCCAAGGTCTCATCCAGTCATATCTCAAAAATGTCCAAGGATAAGATCCCCATATCTCTGGGGCCCAGCTTCAGTGCTAACCACACTCATGATAAACCATTTTTTCCTTATGTCCAACTGTAATTTCCTCTGTTGCAATTTCTGCATGCCACCTCTTATCCTTGCTTTGTGCACTTCTGAGCAGAGTTTATGCTATGGTCTGCGCTGGTACAGCATGTGCTCCATGCCCCTAAATGTCTTACCCTCCTAATGATCCTCTGCTAGACTCTCTCCAGATCGTCAAGATTTCTCCTGTGCTGGTGGGACCAAAACACGACACGGTTCCCCAAATGTAGCCTCAAAAGTACTGCATGGAGAGGAACAACTACTCCCCTTGACCTACCAGTGATGCTTTCGCTACTGCTGCTCTTTTGCAACCAGCCTGCCTTGCTGTGTGGGCGGCACCCTGCCAACTCACATCATAATTAACAAATCTGTCTGCGGTATTGATTGAAAAGAAAAAAGACACCATCTGTATGAAGCTGAGATGGGTTTTGGTTATTGACTACAGAGATCAAGGACAAGCCACACTGAAAGGATGAGGACAGTATGGTGGAAAGAGGACAAATGCCAGAGGACAAAGCAATAACCCAAGGGGATCAGTGCAGATGGGAGATCCAGGCAGCCTGCTGACCTAAGGCTGCTGCATGTCCTGGACCACCTGGGACAGGGCAGGGAGACCCTTGGCATGCGGCTGCCCAGCATCCCTGTGCAGGACACGAAGGTGCGTGCCCAATGTGCCTGCATGGCTCCCTGCTCCCAGCTGCGCTGATCGTCTGTAGGGGTGGGAGACTTCCCAGGGACATGGGAAAGACATACATGGGAGGAAAACAGCCCCTCTCCTCCCAAAGAGTCTGGAGTTTGCTTCCAGCCTGGGGCTCTGCAAAGCTCGCAGGCCTGCCTTGCTAGCTGGGTATGGAGGCACGTGAACGTCCTGGGCTGCCTCCAGCTCGGCGGCCAGCTGACTCACTGCTCTCCAGACAGCGGGACAAAGGGCAGAAGCCTGCCCAAAAGTTTGCTCTCTTGGCACCGAGACATTTTCCAACCCCGCTGGCCTTGCTAAAAGTGCAGCGGGCATGCCAACCTTCTCTCTGCCTTGGCTGGAGCTGGGATCAACAGACAACACAGCCTTTGCCCTACTAACGCCTCCGCTCTTC